TGCTCTTGACTGGGTATGATGTGACAAGTTGCTTCAAGTTCCTATCCTTGACAGAATGGAATGTAACCTGAAATTATGAACCAAATAAACCTTGTTTCCTTTAAGTTGCTTTGGTCAGGGTATTTTTATCACAACCACAGGAAAGGAAACAAAGCAGCCATTTTAACAGCAATAATTCCAGAGCAGAACCACTGTCCCCCCTTTCTATTCTGAAGAGTCAACATTACAATTCTTCACATAAACAATTTATTATTGTGAGTGTGCATGATGTATGTGTAGGCACTCATACCATGTGCATGTATGGAGGCAAAAGGTCAACTTTGTGGAGTCAGTTCTCTCCTATCTCGCTCGGAAGTTCAGAGCATTGGCTGTTTTTACAGAGGAATTGGGTTTGACTCCAAGCACCCATATGGCAGCTAATCATCTGTAACTCCAGTTCCAGGGGACCCAGTGCCGCCTTCTGGCCTCTGCAGGTACTGCACACATATGGTAATCACATACATGCAGACAAACACTCATACACATAAAAATAAATCTTAAAATACTTAAGTGTTTGTATGATATTTGTTTTCAAGCTCCTTTGTTAACCTAAGAGTAAATTTAAATGTAAACTCCCAGATAATCATTTTGCTTCGACCCTCATAAAGAGAGAATATTCCCTACCTTGCAGGGCCAAGCAAGTAAAGCATTTAAAAAAATGCACAAGCTAATCCAACTATGAAGGAGACAAAAGGCTCACAGTAAATTTACAGGCTCAGTGGGCCAAGCAAGTAAAGCATTTAAAAAAACGCACAAGCTAATCAAACTATGAAGGAGACAAAAGGCTCACAGTAAATTTACAGGCTCAGTGGTTATAGCCAAAGGCCCAATTTAAATGGTAGGTGGATTTATCTTAATTTTGGTATCATATATTTTAGAACAGTGTGCATTTTAGAACTGGGAGGAACCAGGAAGGAAGTAGCTTAAGCTTTATTCTCCTACTGTCAAAATAGAACTTTGATCTCTGGCTCATTTCTTTGGGCTTTAAAACTGGATATAATAATGAGCAAGACAAAGTTCTTCTTTTTTAATAGCCCATGTAAAGTGCACACACAAAGGTAAATGGCCCTTCTAATATACTTGCACTATTCACAATGAGCAACAACTACTGACAAGACTCAGTGTTCATTCTACACAATCAGGAAACTAAAAGGAAAATGCAGGTAGTGACCTAAATTAGATTTTCAATCCCTCCCCCCACCCCTCACCCTCCACCCCCCACCCCCACCCCCCAGACAGGGTTTTTCTGTGTAACAGCCTTAGCTGTCCTGGATCTTGCTCTGTAGACCAGGCTGGCCTCGAACTCACAGAGTTTCACCTGCCTCTGCCTCCCAAGTTCTGGGATTAAAGGCGTGCACCACTACTGCCCAGCAGACTTTCAATTTTTTAAAATTTTCATTAAAAATTTTTTTGGAAACAGGTTCTCATGTAGCTTAAGATGACCTCAGACTCCCTCTGGAGAACAGGATAACCCTAAATTTCTGATCTTCCTTACTCCACTTCTTGAGTGGTCTGGGGTTTCGGTACTTAGGGTCAAACCAAGAGCTTCCTGTATAGTAAGCAGTCACTTTATTAAGTGAGCTGCATTCCTGGCTCAAGTTTTGGTTAAGGGAGATAGGGCCTTACTATGTAGCACTGCCTTAGCCTCCTATGTGCTGCAATTATAGGCATGAGCACCACACCTGACTCTGGAAACATAAGCTTAAAAAATTGTCACCAAAAGGGGTGGTGAGATGGTTCAGTAGGTAAAGGTGCTTGCCATGAAGGCTGACAAGTTAGATTTCATCCCTGGGACCCACACAGCGGAAGGAAACAACTACACACACTCTAAATAAATGTAAAAACAAAATATCATTGGAGAATAAGAGAACCAACTTTCATAAATTGTTCTCTGACCTCTGTACACTGTGGCATGCTCACATACTCACACATACACACATAATATACACACAACTCACACAAACAAATAATTGTAAAAAATTTTTAAAAATTATTACCAAGTTAAAACTAATAGGCTCGCTTCTCTTATAGGTGTTTTGTTTTGTTTTTGTTTTTTGCTCCCCCCCCCCCCCCAGACAGGGTTTCTCTGAGTAGCCTTGGCAGTCTTGGAACTCAATCTGTAGACCAGGCTGGCCTCACAGAGATCTGCCTGCCTCTGCCTCCTGAGTGCTGGGACTCTAATAGATACCAAAACTCTTAGCCAGACAGTGGTGGCACATGCCTTTAACCCCAACACTCGGAAAACTATCTCAAGACCAATCTACTACAAAGTAAGTGTTCTCTCTAGGAAGAAACAGGAGGATTGCTGTGGGTTTGATGAGGGTCTGGTCTAGCTAGTGAGTTCTAGTACAGTTAAGAATTCATAGCAAAGCCAGGAGGCGGTGGCACACACCTTTAATCTCAGCACTCGGGAGGCAGGGCCAGGCGGATCTCTGTAAGTTCGAGGACAGCTGGGCTACAGAGTGAGTTCCAGGAAAGGTGCAAAGCTACACAGAGAAACCCTGTCTCAAAAAACAAAAAAAACAAAAAAAAAAAAAATTGTGTACTCTGAGAGACCTTTTGGGACCTGGAGAGATGGCTCAGAGGTTAAGAACACTGGCTGCTCTTCCAAAGATCCTGAGTTCAAATCCCAGCAAGCACACGGTGGTTCACAATCATCTACAATGAGATCTGGTGCCATCTCTGGCCTGCAGGCATACATGCGGGCAGAACACTGTATACATAATAATAATAATAATAATAATAATAAATTTAAAAAAGAATACATAGCAAAACTTGTCTCTAACAAAAAACAATGAAAGAAAATTGTTGGACTGGGGAATGTCACTCATTTGATAAGGTACTTGTCTAGCTTGAATGAAGCCCTGGGTTCAATTCCCAGAATTACATAAAACAGGCACAGTGACACATGCCTTAATCCCAGAACTCTGGAGGTGAAGACTGGAGGATCATCAAGGCCACCTTCTATATGGTGAGTCTTTGGACAGTCTGGGTTACATGAGACTCAAATAAAAAAATAAAATTGTTCTTTTTTTCTTTGAAACAAAGTTTCACCAAGTAATCTAGGCTGTACCCAAACTTGCTATGTAGCCCAGGCTGATTCTGAATCCTTGATTATACTGCCTTAAGATTCCTGAATGCCAGAACCGCACCATGACACTTGGCCTAAATTTTCTATGAGTAAGGAGAAATTTAGAAATAAAGAAATGAAATGATTATTTTGTTTTGCTTTTGAGACAGGGTATTGACATGTCACCTAGGTGGTCTTGGCCTCATTATGTAGTACAGGGTAGCCTTGGACTCTCTACCAACCCTTAGCCTTCCACGTATTGGGATAATAGGCATTACTTTTTTTTAAATGGGGGTTGATTTTTTAAAATTAATCTTCAGTGAGGCTGGTAAAATGACTCAATAGTTACAACAGGACTGCTTTCTGCTCCTCCAGACAACCTGAGCTCAGTTCCCAGCACGTACATTAGGCAGCCCACAAATGTCTATAACTCCAGCTCCAGGGGAATCTGACCCCTCTTCTGGTCTCTGCAGGCACTGACACACAAATGGAATATATTCACATAAATGTATACACAAATGAAAAACAAAAACAAAAACAAGCCCTTAATCAATTGTTTTTTATTTTTTTTTTTATTTTTTTTTTTTTTTGGTTTTTCGAGACAGGGTTTCTCTGTGTAGCTTTGCGCCTCTCCTGGAACTCACTTGGTAGCCCAGGCTGGCCTCGAACTCACAGAGATCCGCCTGGCTCTGCCTCCCGAGTGCTGGGATTAAAGGCGTGCGCCACCACCGCCCGGCCTTTTTTTTTTTTTTTTTTAATCAATTGTTATTTTTAAAGATCCACAGAAGAAAATGAAAAAACAAGAAAACAAAATAAAACCTATTGTTCTCCCACCCCTAACCCCCTTTTTTGGGGGGGGACAGGGACTCTCTACATAGCCCTGGCTAACCTGGAACTCAATATGCGCACTAGGCTGGCCTGGAATTCTCAGAGATCTGCTTCCCTCTGTCTCTCGAGTGCTGGGATTAAAGGTGTGTGTCACCACCACACCCAGATCCCCTTTGGTTTTATGAGACAGGGTTTCAAACTGTCAAGTACCTCAGTTCAACTCAGTATGTGGGTGAGATAACTTTAAACTCCTGGTCCTCCTGCCTCCACCTCCCCAGTGCTGGAATTATAGATCTGTATCATCAATCCTAGGCTGAAAAATATTATTTTTGATATAAGAAACTCAGTCATCATTTGTTTCCATAAAACAGATAGTCACACATATTTTCTGTTGTTTTTATTTGCTTATTTAATTTTGAGATAGGGTCTTGCTATATAGCCCTGATTAGCCTATAACTCATTGGGTACATCAGGTTGGCTTTGAACTCATGGTCTTGTCCTTATCTCCTGAATACTGAGCTCACAAGCCTATGCCACCATACCTGCTGTTGTTCTTGTCTTTTAAGATTCCTCAACGGGCAGTGGTGGCTCACACCTTTAAACCCAGCACTCATGAAGCTGAGTCAGGTGGATCTCTGAGTTCCAGGCCAGCTTGGTCTACAGAGTGAGATCCAGGACAGCCAAGGTTACAAAAGAGAAACCTTGTCTCAAAAATACAAAACAAAACAAAGCAAAGCAAAACAAAACAATGAAAGACTTCTCTTCCAGGCTCAAGAAGACTTGACTGAATGGGCCTCTTTTTCTTATTTAATAACAGATCATTACTCCACCATTAACCATTAAACTGAGCTGGGAAACTACAAGTGCTAACACTATGTTATCCATCTCTGTCCTCCATAATTTTTCAATTAAATTATACTTCAAATAATTATATTTTTGGATTTTACTTTGCAGATATTCTCTTTCCCATGTTCCTCCAAAATCAACGTGGCTAAAGTTTATTTCCTAAAACATTCTAAGATTTGTGTCTTTGAGCTAAACTTAGCAAACCTAATGTCATTACCTCTTTATCTTTTAGTCCCAGGAGCAATACTTCTTCCATAAGAGTTAGGCGGATATCCTTAGAGTCTCCAGGGTCTTCACTATCTGGACTCCTTTCTTGATTAGTGTCTTCTTCACTTTCTACTTTTTTTTCAGCGCTCTTACTGACTTCAGTTCGACGGGTACGGTGAGTTAATGTGGTCATTCTCACCTGTTTATGGAGAGATGTGAAAAACATCTGTGTTTTAGAAAATGAACAAATATAATCCACAGAAGACCTACACACACACACACACACACAGAGGAAAATATATAAGTGCAAATACAGAAAGAGGTAGTAAATAGGAACACTGGATAACATGCTCTCTTTTTCAAAGCATAACAGCTTAAATTCCAGAAAGCAATAAAAAGTGATCAACAGTAATTTAAAAGTCCATTAGAAATGACCATCTTTTCAGTATGCTTATTTCAACTACAACCCAGCAGTGAATTTCTACCACTATTACTCCTCTTTCCTAAAATGGGTCCCCAAGTTAAATAAGATGGAATAGCAAAACTTCATGAACACGTGGCCTTGAGTACACATAATTTATAATTTCTGTAAACAGTTAATGGCACATTATGGAATATACAAAAATATACATAACAAAAACCCCACATTACAATACTTTAAAATTATTGTGTGTACATAATATTTGTGGGTGCTTGTGCCATGTGCACATGTGGAGGCCAGAGGACAATTTTTTGGAGCCCTCTATCCTACCTTTATTTGGGTTTTGGGGATTGAACTCAGGTTGCTTGGCTTGTGCAGTAATTTCCTTTGCCCACTGAGCCATCTCTCCATGCCTGTGTTTTAATATTTTCTTTCTTTTTTTTTAAAGATTTATTTTATTTTAAGTATATGAGTTTTTTGCCTGCACGTATGTCTGTATTACTGCATGCATGCTTGGTGCCTGAGGAAGTGGTAAGCCTCCATGTGGATTCTGGGAATCAAACCTGGGTCCTTTGTAAGAACAAGTGCTCTTAACCACTGAGCCAACTTATTTTCTTTTTTCTATTTTCTTTTTTCTATCACAACAACTCATTTCATGCATTCATTTTGGAAATCACTAGAGTATAACACTTACGTGAATATCAAGTATAATAACTTAGCATCCTTGTTCTACCTGGCTATCTTGTGAATACACAAATAGCTACAAAAAAAAAATCCCGCAAGACTGTGAAAGCTTATCAAATTCTCAAAAGAAAATGAGGATGGAATGTGGCTCAGTGTTACAGCATGTGTTAGCATGTATAAGGTCCTAAGTGCCATTCCCAGCAATGGTAGAAAAAAATCAGAGTAGACACCCTTTTTTTCAGCTTTACACTCTAAATCACCTGTGATAAAGCTTAAAGTTAGCACATCTTATACAAATTTAAATGTCAATTTTTATCCTTAAAAACAAGCACTTAATATCAGCAATTATATACTTTTGAGATCAAAAGATCAGTATTTAAAAGATGCTATGGCTGCTCCTTGTTCTACCTTATAACAATTTTATCAAGTGTGTCTTGTTTTCTTTCTGCCTCTGATCCTTGTTATTCTGGGGTTCTTCCCCTTTCCCTTTTCTCCCTAAATGTTGTCCAGTCTTTGAAGGCCTACCGAAGACTCACTGTGAGGCCTTAAGGTCAATTTCTATCTCTCCATTATGCATATGTCCCATGGCGAGAACTGGTTTCTCTCTCAGCTGTACAGAAATTTATTCATACTTACTCTCTTTCAATATTTATCATAGTCCCTCTTTTGTTATGGCTGTATGTTAACTTAAACTTCTTGAGGGCTGAGATGTTGTCATCTTGAGTTTTTACATTTTCCATAGCAACTAGCACAGTATCGTTAACGTTGTAACCGCTCAATAAATATATACTCAGTAAAATGGACACTCAGAAAGGCATGTGTACATTAAAAATAGAAATACGCACTAAGTGTCTTACAAATAAATGTACAAGGATACATTTCAAATATAATTTTTGGTGGGAAGTAAGAAAAGTGAAGAAGGAACAGAACACGGAATAATGCCTTAGGGTACTAATTCTATTTGGCATTGAATCGGGGTTATTTCCAAACCCAATCCAAGAAACTTTACACCCTCGAGGGAATGGGGGCAATTTTCTTTGCGGAATTTATCATTTCCCCGTGGACACTTACTAGTTAAAACACATTATTTGAAGACATGATGACCAACAATGAGTAGTAAAAACCACCCTTTCTCTCTAAAGTAAAATATTGAGCAGCTCTGTTGGACGTTAAGAAGTGTTATTTTCTGTTCCTTACCTGACGTTGCTCTGGAGCTGCAGTGGGACGTAGGCTGCAGTTCGCACTCTCTTTTTGGAGGGCACCTGTTTCCCTCACCCCAGCCCGGTACTAGTAGGTGAAAAACTTCTCAGCCACGCAGAGAGCACAAACTTCCTGATCCTTCGATGCAGAGAGGGAATAACACATCAGCTTCCTCAGGATCACTAGGCAACCTACCTTGGTGTTTCTTCATTGAGCCAATCAGAATCCCCCAAGGTTGAGTCTAGCCAATCGGAGCTTACGAGGGGAGGCCCTCCCGGCTATTGTGTTGCGATCCAGACAAACATCACCAAAAGGAGGCAGGTTTGGGTTCAACCTGACAGCTGGTCAATCCAATGAAGAAACCTCGGTGGAGGCCAGGAAAAGGCTGCGCCCCACCCCAATGAAATTACCCAATCAAAGTATCCCGTGAGACAACAGATGCTGCCAATCACGAAAGGATCCTGCTGGCCAATTTCAGTGTAGCAGGTGTGTTTCTGTAGCTTTGAGTATTGACACAACCGGGGAAGAAATGCTGGCATCCGAGCAAACTAAGGCTAAAATCAGATACCCCCTCCCCATATCTTAACTCTGACTCTAGAAAAACCTGATCTGACCAGTTTGTGGACGTTATCCGGTTTACACTGAACAGATGGGTACATTCCTACCATCACACACACATAATATCCCTATGGAGCACTTCGATAATCCTGTGGCTACTGTGCGTTTTGGAATATGGCTGCTGAAACAAGACACAAACAGAGAAAGTTTTAGGTCTTCCTTTTCTGAAGCAAAGGAAATAAATGGCAAGGTTGTAACTATGTCCCAGGTCTCTCATCAAAGAAATCGCTCATGCTACTACTCAAAAGTTCCAAGTGTGTTCAACTCTTGCAAGATAATGCTTACCTAAATTCTCTCAAAATTAATAGCTAAACACTTTGTGCTAATTAAATAAAAATTAGAAATCATGAAAGAGCCTGCACACTATCTTAACCATGCTAGTAAAATGCCAGTCTTTTATTAGTCATTGCTTTCAGTCATATTTTTGCCCTAAATACATGTTTAAAAGTTGAATGTTGTATATTATGTTAATAACACACTATATCAAAATATCAAACATTATTTTAATAACACCAATTAAATGGTACAGTTTTAACATATGTAAAAAGTGAATCCTTACAAAATTTTAATGCTAGAATAAACATTTCAGAAATGGTTCTAGAGAGCCTTAAAAGTTAACACATATTTTTAAAAAGCTTTAAAATGGAAGGCAGATTGTATTCAGTGGATAATGAGCAGAATCAATGGTGACATTTATACTTTGGTTTAGCCAAAAGTTCCCTTGGATTTAGCTCAGGTAAACACAATATAATAGCTAAAACTTTCATTAGTGTAATAACTGTGTGAGCCACAAAATAATTTTCAGAGGTACAAAAAGCACACCTTCAAATAATAATACAGTATATTTTAGTTTAAATGTTGAGAACTACGAATCTGCATAAGAAAAATAATTTTTAGGTCTGTTCCTGTGGTTCACTAACTCTCTTTCTTTTTGTCACTGACTCTTGACTAGAAGATTCCAAGAGATGAAGGACCTGTCAAAAGAAAACAACTACTTAGAGACTTTCCAGTTTAATTTTCCTTCCTTCCTTCTTTCTTTTTTTCCTCCCCCCCCCCCCCCCGACAGGGTTTCTCTGTGTAGCCCTGGCTGTCCTGGAACTAAGAACTAACTCTGTAGCCCAGGCTGGCCTCGAACTCAAGAGCTCTGCCTGCCTCTGCCTTCCGAGTGCTGGGATTACAGGCATGCGCCACCAACACCCTGTTCTTATTTTTGAGATAGAGCTCCCATGGTCCAGGATTGCTTCCTATCCACTATGTAGCAGAGGTTGGTTTGAACTTCTCACCTCTCATGATATACTCAGTGCTGGGATCACAGTGATGTGCTCCTACATATGGGTTGATGTGGTGTGGAAGGGCTGACACAGGGCTCCATGCATGCCAAGCAAGCACTCTACTAACTGAGCTACATCTCCAGCCCAGCATAGGTATTTTCTACTAAAATAGGATACCCAGAGTATTTTTAAAGTAGAGTACAATTTATTATTGACATACAACTTACCTATGAATAGCTGCTATAAGCATATACTCACAAAAGGTAAGATATTCATTTGAGTTGTTGAAGATAGAGTTAGAAGGAAAAATAATTATAACATGTTATCTTTGAAATTGGAGGAATGAAAAGGGAGTAAAGGAGCCGGGCGGTGATGGCGCACGCCTTTAATCCCAGCACTCGGGAGGCAGAGCCAGGCGGATCTCTGTGAGTTCGAGGCCAGCCTGGGCTACCAAGTGAGTCCCAGGAAAGGCGCAAAGCTACACAGAGAAACCCTGTCTCGAAAAACCAAAAAAAAAAAAAAAAAAAAGAAAAGAAAAGGGAGTAAAGATTTTAATCATAATAGGAAAACATTTTACTTTGGGACCATGTATGATTTAAATCATATTTTAAGGCAGACAGGGTAGCTCATAGCTATAACTGCAGCAACTGGTAGGCAAAGGCAGGAAGATCACAAATCTAAGACCAGCCTCAGCTATATGATCTCACTTAACCCCCCTCCATCATGTCTTTATAAAAATTAGACATTCAGTGAATCCATTTTCTTGACTTCTTTTTCTTTTGCAGTGCTGAAGATGAAAACCTAAACCCTCACAAATGAAAGGTTAAGTACAATATCCTTAGCTCAGAATGTAAGTTTGAATAAACGAAAGAATGAATTAGAGAACTAACAAAATTTCTTTATTGGACTTTCATTTTCTGGAAAAGTTAAAGTATAATGACAAATTGGATTGTGGTTCCTAAGAAAGCATCAAGTATCAAGGTTTAAAACATTGAGAAAAATTAAGGCTGGAGATATGGCTTAGTGGTTAAGAGGATGCTCCTCCGGACCTAAGTTCCATTCCAGCACTCCTGTCAGGTGGCTCACAACCACCTGAAACACCAGGTACAGGACATCTGGTTTCTTTGGCACCAGCACTTATATGCATTTATCTATGCAGAGACACAAACACACAAACATCCTTTTTATTTTATTTTATTTGTGAGACAGGGTTTCTCTACATAGCTCTGGCTGTCCTGGAATTCACTATGCAGACCAGGCTGACCTTGAACTCACAGAGATCCACCTGCCTCTGCCTCCTGAGCGCTGGAATTAAAAGCATGTGCCACTATGTCCAGCCATCCTTTTTTATTTTTTTTCTTTTTTGAGACAGGGTCTACTATATAGCCCTCACTGGCATGGAACTTGCTATATAAACCAGCCTGGCCTGAGAATTGCTATATATAAACTGGCCTGGCCTCAAACTCAAGAGTTCTTCTTCTGCCTCCTGAGTGCTGGGAATAAAGGCATGGACCACTATGCCTGGCCAGACATACACATATACATATATGTTTTACAAAAAATAAATCTTTGGGAGGCTAGAGAGATGTTCAGTGATTAAGAGCATTTCAGTTCCCAGCACCCACATGGCTCATAACCATCCATAACTTCCATTCCAGGGAATTCAACATGCTCTTCTGACTTCCAGAAGCACCAGGCATGCATGCAGTGCATACACGCATACACACACACACACACACACACACACACACACACACACACACACACACACACACACACACACACACACATGGAGGCAAAACACCACATATCTTTTTCTTCTTTTTTTTGGTTTTTCAAGACAGGGTTTCTCTGTGTAACAGCCCTTGCTGTTCTGGAACTCCTTTGTAGACCAGGAGACCAGGCTGGCCTTGAACTGACTGAGATCCACCTGCCTCTGCCTCCCTTAAAGGTGTGCACCACCACCACCTTGCCATATAAATCTTCTTAAAAAATGGAGAAATGAAAGAAAACTAACATCTTTAGTGGGATGTCAAGTTATTCTTTCTTTTTCACTGGGTAGCCCAGAGCATGGAACTCACTCTGAAATCTAAACTGGCTCCAAACTCATGGTCATCCTGATTAATCTTCTCAACTGCTGAGAAATTCAGGAGTATGTCACTTCATCCTGCTCCATTCATTCCCTTCTGAAATGATGTATATTAAAAATACTGACTGGCAGGGTGTATTGGCTGGTTTTGTGTGTCAACTTGACACAAATAGAGTCATCAGAGAGGAAGGAGCCTCAGTTGATGCCTCCATGAGATTCAGCTGTAAAGCATTTTCTCAATTAGTGATCAATGGGGGAGGAGGGCCCAGCACACTGTGGATGGTGCCATCCCTGGGCTGGTGGTTCTATAAGAAAGCAGGCAGAGCAAGCTAGGGGAAGCAAGCCAGTAAGTAGCACTTCTCCATGGTCTCTGCATCAGTTCCTACCTCAAAGATCCTGCCCTGTTTGAGCTCCTGACCTGACTTCTTTGATGGTGAACAATGCTAAGTGTAAGACAAAATAAACCCTTTCCTCCTCAACTTGCTTTTTGGTCATGGTGTTTCATTGCAGCAACAGACAAGGGATGCAGACAAATGGTTCAGTGGTTAAGAGCATAGGATGCACTTTTAGAGGACTCTGGTTTGATTTCTAGCACCCACATGGTGGCTCACAACTGTCTGTAACTCTAGTTCCAGGAGATCTGATGCCCTCTTCAGGCCTCCATGGGTACTTCATGTATGTGGTGTATAGCCATATACTCAGATGAAGTACCCATATATATAAAGTTAAAAAAAAAAAGAACACTAACTGGTGCGGGGTATGCTGGTGAAATGACTCAGGTAAAGGTACTTGCCACTAAGCATGATGACCTAAGTCTGATTCCTGGGGCCCACATGGTAGAAGAAGGAAACCGACTCTGGCAAGTTAGTTGTACTCTGACCTCCACATGGTACCGTGGCAAGTGAATACACATGCATACCCACATATGCAGAATGCATGAATGAATGCATAATTAAATTTAATAAAACCTTTTTTGTTTTGTTTTTAAATACCAGCTAGGGATGTAGCTCAGTCAATAGAATGCTTGCCCAACATGCAGGAAACTCTGGGTTCTATCCCCATCACTGCATAAACTGGGTGTGGTGGTGCATACCTGTAGTCCCATCACTCAGGAGAAGAAGGAAGGAGGACTAGTAGTTCAATGTCATGCTAGGCCTCCTGGAGAGTTCAAGGACAACCTGGGCTACATAGACCTGTTTCTAAATCGAAAGAACATTAATTAACCACTTATATAATTTAGATTCTCTTTTAAACATTTCAAACAGTTTTAAGACTTCAGGTGTCTAAATTCTTTTTGTTCTCGGAAATCAAATTCAATGCCTCACAAATACTACGAAAGCACTCTACTCCTAACATCCCAGTCCTTCAGTTGTCTAATTTTAACTAGTAATATTCAAACCTTAGTTAAAATATAAATATTTTTAAAAAGGACAAATGTACTATCTGATTCAGCAAAATAAGTTTCCAAAAATAAAACTACAGAGTTTAGTTAAGTAGTTTTCTTTCTCCTGAGATACTATATTTTCAAGAAACATGTGGATATGGCAACTTGGTTATTTCTCTTAGTTTTGATCTCTGGAAAGCTCTGTTCAATTATGTAGCCCAAATGTCATGAATATTCTTAGGTCATTGTATCATTCTACTTCTATTTTTCCAGATACAGATTTTTATTTTATAAATTTCTTTAATAACTGAATTGCTCATGGAATGGACAGGAGCTACTTACATTTAGAAAACATTTTATTTATTTGTTTGAGACAGTGTCTCACACTATAGCTCAAATTGGATTGGAACTTACTATGTAGGCCAGGTTGAACTTGAACTGTTGGTAATCCTTCTTCTTTAGTCTCCCAAGAACTAGGATTACAGGAAAGATCTACCACACCCAGCAGCCTCAGATATTTGAACAAGTTTTGAGTATCAGAGCTTTGAAGTATGTTCAGGAACACCAAATCTATTATCTTTTTTTTTTTTTGGTTTTTCGAGACAGGGTTTCTCTGTGTAGCTTTGCGCCTTTCCTGGGACTCACGTGGTAGCCCAGGCTGGCCTCGAACTCACAGAGATCCGCCTGGCTCTGCCTCCCGAGTGCTGGGATTAAAGGCGTGCGCCACCACCGCCCGGCATATTATCTTAATCTATAGTTATGACATTCGGATATCTGCCATTTTATTCAATCCATACACTATCATTAGACTTACTGTTTTCCCAGGCTGACGAAGACTTCTCTTTCGATTTTCTTTAGAAGTTTGTCCTTGATTTCCATTTACCTCCCAAAGATAGAAAAATTACTATTTCATTATTTCTCAAAGAACAGTTAATTTTTTCAACCTTATGCACTGACACATAATATGTCAGATGCTGTATGATTTCTCTATTTTAAGTGTACAAGTCAATAATTTTAAGAGTATTCAGAGTTGTAGAATTTACTAATATAGTCAGTATTAGAACTATAGAAGGCCCATCTTCAGCTATCAGTCTCCTATCCTTTAATCTCCTGCCATTCCTAATACTTCGTTTCAATAGCTTTCCAAATTCTGACTTTTTTGTTTGTTTTTCAGAGTAGGTTGGTTTTTCTATGTAGTCCTGACTATCCTAAAACTTAAGAGATTTGCCTGCCTCTGCCTCCCTAGTACTGGAACTAAAGACTTTTGTCCAGCCTCAAATTCTGACTTACTTTTTATTTGAGACAATGTTTCTCTGTGAAATTTATGACTGTCATATGAACAGAATCATGGTATGTGGCCTCTGTGATTGACTTCTTTCAATTAGTTGTTGCATGTATATTGATGTTTTGTTCCTTTTATGGCTGAATAATTCTGTTGTGTGGCTATAACTATTTATCCAATCTGTTGATGGACATTACTTTTTTCTACTTCTTGACAATAGTAATGTCATATGCATAATTATTAAAATAAATGTTGGAAAGTAAAAAATTGTTGTCAACATTACTTTTCTTAAAAAAGACATACTTCTTGTTTTATAGTATTTAACAGAATTTTTTAAAAAACATTTGGATACTATGTCTTACTATGTAGACATAAATTTGCCATGTAGCCCAGGCTGGCTGAAAATTTACAATCTTCTTGTCTCTGCCTCCTGAGTACTGAGATTATAGGTGTCTAGTACCATACCTGATACATCTTTTTTCATGCTTGAAATTGCCCTTTCAGCAGAAGGCATGGCTCAGTATCTTGCATATGTAAGGCCCTGGATTCTCAACACTGCTAAAATCCTTTTGTCTGCCTGCCTGCCTGCCTGCCTTCCTTCCTGCCTTCCTTCCTTCCTTCCTTCCTTCCTTCCTTTCCTTCCTTCCTTTTCTCCCTTTCTTCATTTCTTCCTTATTATGGTTTTTTGAGACACGGTTTCTCTGTGTAACAGTCCTTGGCTGTCCTAGAACTCTGTAGACCAGGCTGGCTTTGAACTAATAGAGATCTGTCTCTTCCTCCCTTGAACTCATAGAGATCTGTCTCTTCCTGCCAAATGCTGGGATTAAAAACAAGGGCCACCACTACTGCCCAACTTCTGCCTCTCTCCTTATATCCTAGTGAAAGATAGTCATCCTAAATTGAAGCTGGATAGAAAGAATGTTTTGTTGCTGGAAGTAATAATTCTTGATATCTCTAATTTCTGTGAGCCCTTCCACTCCACAGAGTTTTACCCTGTAGCTCATGCTGGCTTGCAATGTGCCATGAAGCCCAGGGTGGCCTCAAACTCACAGCTATCTTCTACATCCCCCTTCTCAAGTGCTGGGATAACAAGTGTGCACCACCACACCCAGCTTACATTTCTTTGTTTCTTGCTTCCATCAGCATACTAGCTTGAATATTGCCTTTGGCTAGTTCTAAGTTCTTACTGAGAATGTGGGGAAGAAAAAGACACATAAACAAGGTAGCATAATTAATGCGACTCTGGGAGATGTTTTACAATCAGCTCTATGGGAGAAATCCTGAGGCATTTGTTGATTTCCATGCTGTGAATATTCTTAATGTCCAATTTCCAACTGCCATTATGATGTCACTGAACAAGATGTTAGGAAGCTATGTTCTAGCATAGAACTAAATCTCTGAGAATAACTTAAATGTCTAAAATAAAATATGAGCTAGGCATGGAGGATGCCGCTATAGTCAGTGTGCACTAAAGGCAGAAACAGGAGGAGCAGGAATTTAAGGCCATCCTCAGCTACACAGTGAGTTCAACACCAGTTTGAGTGACCTGAGACCTTGTCTTGAAAAATCAAATCAAATCTAAACTTCTATTTAGTAAAATTAGTTATGAAAACTAAAACTGATTTCCTAATAATATTTGTTTTATGCAAGATATCTACAAAAGATCAATTTGTAATGTAATCAATTTTGTAAATAATCAATTTACAAAATAGAACATGGGAACTTTCTGGTATTCTAGAATACTTTCCTTAAGAGTTTAGATAATATTTCTCAGAACTATTTTCAGATTCTTCATGCTGATGTATTTGATTAAATTTTCTATTCTTTCCTTTGCACCTCCATGTAAGCTATTAAGACTTCTATAATGACCTTATATCATTGTTCTATTTCTCTCTCTTTCATCTATCTATTCCTCTATCTACCATCTATCCATCCATCCATCTAAATGTGTGTGTGTGTGTGTCCATCTGTGTGTGTGTGTCCCTGGCACCTAGTATGTACCTGACACACAATAAACAGCTACTTAAGAAATACTTGAGAATATGGGGCTGGAGAGATGGATCAGCTGTTAAGAGCACTGGCTGCTCTTCCAGAGTACCCGAGTTCAATTCTCAGCACCCACATGGCGGTTCACACCTGTCTGTAACTTCAGTTCCAGAGGATCTGACACTCTCACACAGACACACATGCAGGCAAAGTACCAAGGCACATAAAATAAAAATAAATCATTAAAAAAGAAAGAAGCCGGGCGGTGGTGGCGCACGCCTTTAATCCCAGCACTCGGGAGGCAGAGGCAGGTGGATCTCTGTGAGTTCGAGGCCAGCCTGGTCTCCAAAGTTCCAGGAAAGGCGCAAAGCTACACAGAGAAACCCTGTCTCGAAAAAACCAAAAAAAAAAAAAAGAAAGAAAGAAACACCATAAAATAGCCAGAAGTGGTGGTGAATGCATTTAAGATCAGCACCCAGGAGACAGAGGTAGGCAGATCTCTGAGATCCAGCCTGGCATACACAGTGAGTTCCAGGACAGCCTATGTGCCTGTGTGTCTGTGAGTGAGTGAGTGAGTGAGTGAGTGAGTGAGTGAGTGAGTGAGTGAGTGTGTGTGTGTGTGTGTGTGTGTGTGTGTGTGTGTGTGTGTGTGTGTGTATAGATAGATAGATGAGAGAGAGAGAGAGAGAGAGAGAGAGAGAGAGAGAGAGAGAGAGAGAGAGAGACCCTGACTTAAAAACAAACAGAAAAATACAGAAGCTGGGTGGCAGTGGCACAGGCCTTTATAATCTCAGCACTGGGGAGGCAGAGCCAGATGGATATCCGTGAGTTCAAGGCCAGCCTGGTCTACAGCGAGAGATCCAGGACAGGCACCAAAACTACACGGAGAAACCCTGTCTGGAAAGACCACACAAAAAAAAAAAAAATTCACACATGAAGATGAAATTATATTTACCATTTTACTCTGAAAGATTTTCCCACTTCTTGTTTTGCTTTCAGACACATCAAGTTCAGATGTTTTACTGACTAACTGTTCAACCTAGAAAACATATTTCACAAAACGATATAACATATCATAATAAGTGGGATCCAAAATATTAATCATATAAAGTTTAGTATCTTGTGCTGGATAGTGGCTCACACTTTTTTTTTTCAAGACAGGGTTTCTCTGTGTATCCCTGGCTGTCCCCGAACTCACAGAGATCCACCTGCCTCTGCCTCCTGAGTGCTGAGATTAAAGGCATGCACCATCACTGACTTGCATGGCTCACACTTCTAGTCACAATACTCAAGAGGCAGAAAGAAGATTGCCATAAATTTGAGGCCAGCTTAGTCTAGTGAGTTCCAGGCTAGCTAAGGTTACATACTAGGACCATCTCTCAATCCCTTAAACAAACAAAAAAAATGTGTAATATTTTATCTAGCTCTGAAATTCTTAGAGTCTATGAACATTAATTTTATTTTATATTTATTTATTGAGGAAAGAAGCATGTACACCACAGTACACATGTTAGAGATCAGAAGACATCTTGAAGGAATTGGCTTTTTTCCTTCCATCACGTGGGTTCTGGGAATCAGAGGTCATCAGTTTTGGTAGCAATTCCCTTTATCTTCTGAGCCATCTCACCAGCCCTCTACAAACATCTTGTTGTGGGGGATTTCTGTGGGATCTACAAACATCTTAAGGTTTATTATTAAATAAATTCACAGTGATATACTAAAAAACCTTCTTAATAAATAATTGTATATAATAATTTATCTAAATACCTATTTTTATTCTATAACACAAAAGATAAGAAAACCTGAGCAATAATGAAATAAGCATATAAGGAATCATCTTTTAAAAAAAATTAAAACAGGGGCTGGATGGCTCAATGGTAAAGAACACTGGCTGCTTTTACAGAAGACAAGGGATCCTAGCACCTCCATGGTGGTTCACAACTGGCTGCAACTCCAGTCCTAGGGGATCTGATGTCCTCATCTAGCCTCCATGGGCACCAGACATTGATATAGTGTACATAAAATATATATAAGCAAAATATTCATGCACATAAAATAATTTAAGGCCAGATGTGATAGTTCACATCTATAATCCCAGCACTCAAGAAGCAGAGGTAGGAACATGGCTGCAAGTATGAGGCCAGTGTGGCCTACATAGTGAGTTCTAGGCCAACTAGAGCTACATTGTAAGACCCCATCTCTTTCTCTTTCTCCCCTTCCCCCTTTTTTTCAAGATAGGGTTTCTCTGTGTAACAGTCTTGGCTGTCCTGGAATTCCTTCTGTAGACCAGGCTGGCCTTGAACTCACAGAGATCAACCAGAAAGGCATGTGTGCCACCAGCACCAAGAATCTGTCTCAAACAAACAGGTAAAGTAAAACAAGACAAAACAAAATAAAATTGAAAGCCAGATGGAACTACCAAGTTTATACCTGACAATGAGAAATTGAAGGACTTGGGGTTTTTTTGAACTGCATAATTTCTTCTTCCTTATAATCTAAATTTGGTTCTGTTAAAAAAAATAAAGTTAAAATGGTATAAAATTGAATTGGCAGTTAATAAACATTTTTGTTAGCTTCTTACCTTTAATTTCAGAAGCTCCCAAGTTTTCTTTCTGTTCGTCCATTTTAGTTTTAATGTCAAAATTATTCTATATAAATATGAAGACAAATTGAACACATTTTAAGAATAAATGAAAACATTAGATATGAATATTAATGAACACATTTGCTTTATGTAAAGGTTAACTACAACTATCTTAAGTTTGCTAGAAATACAAATGATGCTAGAATTACTACCACAAGGCAACTTTGTTTTTTATTATATTAATTAACTAATTAATTAATTTTTGAGACAGAATTCACCTGTGTAACAGCCCTGCCTATCCTGGAACTCGCTTTGTAGACCAGGCTGGCCTCGAACTCACAGAGATCTGTATACCTCTGTCTCCTGAGTGCTGGGATTTACAGGTGTGTACTACCATGCTAAACTTATTTATGTATTTTGAGACAGAGTCTATCACTGATTGAACCTGGAGCTGAGTGTTTTGGACAGCAAGTTCCTAGAATTCTGCTTCTAGTCCCAACCCTCCCAGTGCAAGGGTTACAGATTTGCACAATGATATGCAGCTTTTACATGGGTTCTAGGAAACTGATCATACACATCTTTATGCTTGTGCAGCAAGAACTTTACCTCTCATCCTGAGACTCAAATATTTTAAAGAATGCTACAAAATTCCTAGCTGGCATGGTGGTTCACACCTGCAATCTCAACATTTAGGAGGTGGAGGCAGGAGGATTAGAAATTCAAGGACAGCCTCCGCTACACAGCAAGTAGTTAGCAGCTAGCCTGAACCCTGTCTTTTAAAAACAAAAGCCTGTGAGATAGTGCAGCAGACAAAGTGCTCAAGGAACAGGCCTAGCAATCAGAATTTGATCTCCTGTATAACCAGCCATTTGATCCTGTCTCGGAATGAAGTTCTTCTACAGAATGAAGATTTTACTACTGTATTTATAGAAACATGAAGATCTATCAAAGTCCTCATAACGTTTGCTACTATTGCACTTTATAATTAAATATGTTCCACTTACATGATTGTCATCTTCTACATCATCTTTGTCCATTATGATTTTTCGAAATGGTATTTTTGATTGTTTTGGTGTTAATATGGCTGAATCAATATTTTCCATTCGTTCTTTCTCAGTGGTCACTTTTAATCTGAAGGTGTGAAAAGGTGTCGGGACTTCTCCCACATTTAAGTATGTAGGGTCCCCATCAAATATTACTCCTTCACAATCACCATCCTTAAAACCTGGAGGTTGGTAATCTGGGGGTGTAACTACAAAAAAGGAAGTATAAACTGTACCATTTATAAAACTGAAGAAACTGAAATAGTCATAGAAACACAACAAGATTAAATTCAGACAAAAAAACCTAAGCTAAAAATGTAGAGATGCACCTCCTATATCAAAGTCCTCATTCTTTTGTTTGTTTGTTTGTTTGTTTTTTGTTTTTCGAGACAGGGTTTCTCTGTGTAGTTTTGGTGCCTGTCCTGGATCTCACTCTGCAGACCAGGCTGGCCTCAAACTCACAGAGAGCCCCTGGCTCTGCCTCCCAAGTGCTGGGATTAAAGGCGTGTGCCACCACCGCCCGGCTAAAGTCCTCATTCTTTAAGGGTAACATTCATTTTCTTGACTGGCTACATGACTGTGAGCAAATTACTTATCATTCTTGGTTTATTTTCTTTGTCAAATGGAGAAAATAACAATACCTACCCACAAGAGGTCGCTGTGGATATAAAAATAGTAAAGTGTAAAATGTTCAGAACTGAACAGGCACATAGCAAGTAATTGTTAAAAGGTGTTATTGTTGTTGCATTATGTTCTAAAAAAATATCATGCATGTAATAAAAAGAATACCTTATGTTTACATAGAAAATATTATATATGTAACAGTAATATTTCATGTTTGCATACTTTCTATGCACTATATATCCTTAAACATCCTTTAAAAATTCAGGGAGATCATGCCTCGCTTTTCTTTTTTTCAGTACTCTGCAAGTGCAAGGGGCTGGTCAGTAACAAGAGCACTGCTGCAGCCCTTCTGTGATTTTAACAGTTCATATAGTATTTTTTTTATATAGATGCAACATAATTTACTTACTCAAGTCTCCAAGGAAGATATTCTATTTGTTTACACTTCATTCCTATTTTAACCACTGTTATAATGAAAATTCTTATAAATACATAATCTTGAATATCTGTACAAGCTAGTCTCAAAATATTTTTCTAGGTATATCATTTATAAGTTAAAATATTAAATTTTGGAGTGAGAGATATGGCTTCATGGTAGAATGCTTTCCTAGTATGCATAAGACCTTAAGTTCAAGCCCCAGTACCATAAAACCAAAACCTTTTTTTTCCAGTTATGAGGTGTTTATTCATTACGTATACCTGAAAGAAACACTGCATATTTATTTTTCTGTTATCTACAAAAATTATGAAAATATGATATAAAATAGTTTTAAAATTAAAACACAACCAGATTAGAAATGAAACACAGACAACTAAATCTTCACAAAGCTGTCTGTAAGAAGGTGGTACTGGTGCTTGCCTTTAATTTCAGCACTCAGGAGGATCCCTGTGAGTTTGAGGCCAGTCTGGTCTATATAGAGAGTTTGAGTACTGCCTGGGCTACATAAAGAGACCCTGTCTCAAACTTGGCAGTTTAAGCCCATGGTAAACATTTCAGGGGATGTTGGTAAGATAGGGCCACAGAGGAAGTGTCAGCAAACATGAGAAAGCAAATCTGCCTATAACTTTATAGACATGCCATTCAAACTGTTCAGCCACATATCCACAGATAAACCCAACTACTGCCGAAAAAAGAATAATTCCCTGAAACATCTGTTCAGCTGGCTTCTACATCATGGTAATCCACTGTATGGTTAACAAGCTCAGGTGTTCCAACATGACTAATGGAGAGGAGAACAAAACAAGGGTGGCTGATACTACTTTAGAATGTGGTAGCTCGAGTGTCACACTGAATGTAGCCTGGCTGACTTGCCCAGCTCTTTAGTGCAATGTTGAAAACCAACATTTAAAAAAAATTTTATTTAACTTTATGTGCATTGGTGTTTTGCCATGGGTGTTGGGTCCCCTGGAACTGGAGTTACAGACAGTTGTGAGCTGTCATGTGGGTGCTGGGAATTGAATCCGGTCCTCTGGAAGAGCAAGTGGTGCTCTTAGCCACTGAGCCATCTCTCCAGCTCCCCCCAAAAGCCGACATTTTTTAAAATACTGACAAAATATCTTCTGAAAATTTTGCTAGGGGTTGGGGATTTAGCTCAGTGGTAGAGCACTTGCCTAGCAAGTGCAAGGCTATGGGTTCGGTCCTCAGCTCCGGGGGGAAAAAAAAAAGAAAATTTTGCTCCTATGTGCATTCGCTCAAGAAGGTTTAAGAGCACATATTTTCTCAATTATGGGTTCACAAGTTTTATCAATCTGGTAAATAAAAAGTAGCATTTTACTATTCCATTTCTTTAATTATGAGTAAGTTGCATTTCCTATAGATGTTCCTATCACTAGAGAAATGCATTTTTTAAAAAAAGATTTATTTTATGTATATGAGTGCTCTACCAACTTTAAGCCAGAAGAGGGCATCAGATCCCACTATAGATGGTTATAAGCCATCACATGGTTGCTGGGAATTGAACTTAGGACCTCTGAAGAGCAGCCAATGCTCTTATAACTACTGAACCATCTCTCCAGCCCAGAGAAATGCATTTTAAATCCTACTTTTGCCAGAGATCCACCTGCCTCTGCCTCCCAGGTGCTGGGATTAAAGATGTGTGCCGCCACCACCTGGCAACAAGGTTTTTTTTGGTTTTTCGAGACAGGGTGGTGGCGCACGCCTTTAACCCCAGCACTCAGGAGACAGAGCCAGGCGGATCTCTGTGAGTTCAAGGCCAGCCTGGGCTACCAAGTGAGTTCCAGGAAAGGCGCAAAGCTACACAGAGAAACCCTGTCTCGAAAAACCAAAACCAAACCAAAACAAACAAACAAAAAAAAGTTGTGCGCCACCACTGCCCGGCTTACAATTTTGTTTTTCAATATTTATTTTATTTTTATTCATTTTGTATGTGTGACTGTCTGTCTTTGTCCACAGGTGCCTGAGAAGGCCAGAAGAGGGCACTGGATTGCCCTGGACATGGAGTTACAGGCCAATTCTGTCGCCTACCACAATTGGTGCTGGGAACCATACCCTAGTCCTCTGTAAGAGCAGCAAGTGCTCTTAACCTCTGAATTGTCTCCCCAGCCACCAATGTTTCTTTTCAAATACTCATATTAAATGCAAGTTTTCTACTTTCAAAGACTCTGTAACAATTTAGGTGCTAAAACATTAGAAGTAGAAACCAATTTTTGAAATATAAAACTAAATCAAGACATACTGCAAGTAGTACCTTCATCATAGTAGAAAAGTTTCATGGTCAAACAAACATCATTAGGCAAAGGTCCTAGATTTTGCATTAGGACATAAATCTTCCGAATGAGGAGAATACTTGCTTTCTTGGTGTCAGCAGATGTTGTACTAGATTTATTGTTTTGATTTTTGCTAGAAAAGAATGAGAAATAAATTTTTCATAAGACTTATGACTTCTAATATTATCTCACATTTTAACAATTTGAGATTATTCTTTTAAAACATTGTTACTAGATTGAAAGTTACCACAAAAATATTTTCATGTCACTATTATAAAAATTTAGTATCATTATTAACATCATTATTATAAGCTAAATACAAATTTACATAAGTATAACAAATACACATTTTATATACATTGTGTTTAAAGGAAATGAACGATGGATTTTAATTACATTTCTAACCACTCAAATTCCTTTTTTTATAATTAAAATAGTACATAATTAACACATGATCTTGTGGCATTCTAAGTTTTGTTGCATTTTGAGAGCTTCTCTGGGGGTTCTAGTAGAAAAATCACAGCTACTCATAAACCCTGAACGAGGAACAATCCTCCACTATCAGGGAAGGTTGTCCTCTTTGACTGAGTGTGAGGCATTGGGAAGGAATCACCCGACAGGTGATAAAGGAAGGGAGCACCAAGCTAGGCACCCAGAACAGTCAAATTAATCCTGGGGATCAACAACGGTTGACAGATGTCACAGCCATATCGACCTCACATCCTACTACTCTATTTTGTAAAGCCAAATTGCTAACTGGGAGTTTGAGAAGTTTCAGAAATAACCTTGGAGTCTAGCTAAATAGCATTAATAAGTGATAACTGATAATGCAAAAATAAAACTATAGAACAATACCTTATAAAGTCCATGACTGGTCCATTTTTTGTGTACTTGAACTTAAACTGGTAACATTCTGAGATTGTCTTAAATAGAAAACATTGCAGTTATGTAACTGATGCATAGTTCTGACTGCCATGGTTTTCATATGACTTCAAACATTCAGTCAGTAGTTTTCTCTAATGTGTTAACCCCTATTGGTCCACTGGAGTTTTCAAATTCTCATAGTTAATGCTGATGGTATGGAATTTGGTACTTTAGATTGAGAGAGAGAGAGAGAGAGAGAGAGAGAGAGAGAGAGAGAGAGAGAGAGAGAGAGAGAGTCTCTCTGACTCACTACTATGCCTGTTATAGATACTAAATGGTAGGAATGCTTCAGCAGGCAAGTTGGAGAGGAACCACACCTCAGCAGAGTTGGTAAGGGCTGTAGTGTGAATTGTCTGCAAGGTTTATGTATTGGAAATACATGTCCCCAGTGCAACAATTTGAAGAATGGCATTTTTTTTGGAAGCAAAAAAATGACTGTTTTATTGAAGTCAAAATTCTTGACACTGATTTTGCACAGTATCTAGGATACTGCTTCTATCAGAAAAAGCAGTTGAAGCCAATTTGATCAATTAGTGCTAAACAAAAGCAAAAAGACTGCACTGGGTAGACATCCATCAAATCTATAGCATTTTTGTTATTAACCTAAATGAGCCCACTAGACAGGGCAATCAAATACAAAAGTTGCTGCTTTGAGTTGACACAGTTAGATTATAATTGACTATCTAGAGGAAAGGAACATGATCGTAAAGAAATAATTAGGTTAAGGCAGTGGTTTTAAACCTTTCTGCTGGACCCTTTAATACAGTTCTTCATGTTATGGTGATCCCCTAACCATAAAATAATTTTCATTGCTACTTCATAACTGTAATTTTTCTACTATTATGAATCATAATATAAATATCTGTGTTTTCCAATGGTCTTAGGCAACCCCTATGAAAAGGTCATTTGACTCCAAAGAGGTCTTGACCCACAGGTTGAGAACCACTGGGTTAAAATGATCCTGTCCTCATGAGTTAATTAAATAAATTAATTTGGTTATCACTGAAGTGGGTCAAATGTTGTGCAAGTGTGTTCCTTATAAAAAGATGTCTGTGTTTTTCTCTTCCACGTGTGTGTGTGTGTGTGTGTGTGTGTGTGTGTGTGTGTGTGTGTGTGTGTGTGTGTGAGACAGACAAAGAAGGTCATTACTAAATTTTGTTTGGACTAAATTTTGTTCCCAGCCTCTACAACTAAAAGAAATAAATTCTAAACCTTAGATCCCAGCCTCCAGAATCATAAATGGAATAAACTTTTATTCTTTATAAATTACCAAATCTGTATAAAAGAAAAGGAACTAAGACAGATACTAAGTATAGGATTTATTTTGTTATTATTTTGGTTTTTCAAGACAGGGTTTCTCTGTGTAGCCCTGGCTGTCCTGGAACTCACTCTGTAGACCAGGCTGGCCTTGAACTCACACAGATCAGTCTGCCTCTGCCTCCCTAGTGCTGGTATTAAAGGCAAGAGCCACCAGCACCCTGCTTATTGTGATGCATCCAGGTTTGCCTTGAACTCACTATGTAACCAAGGACTGACTTTCAACTCTCTTGGCTCTACCTCCTAAGTGCTATGATAACAGCCATGCACCACCACAACCAGTAAAAACAGATTAAAGAAAACTTTTTTAAAAGACAGGTTCTCACTATATAGCCCTGACTGGCCTGGAAGTGATTGTGTAGACCAGGCTAGCTTTGAACTCACAGAGATCTGCCTACCTCTGCCTTCTGAGTGCTGGGATCAAAGGTATCAGGCCTGTGCTACCACACCCAGGTTTTTTTTTTTTTTTTAACCCTGGCTATACTATAACCACATGCAAACCATTTAAGCTTTCTATTTCCCTACGTAAGAAAGGAGTCTTATTAATAATTCCATGTTATTATCAAACAGCTATTTTATAGAGCCCTTAACAAAGTTGATAGCACACAATAACTATTTAATAAGTATCACTCAGGTGCACAGTAAGGCTGTTTACTTGCTAATGGAAAAATGCATAACTATAAAAATATGGGCTGGGCGGTGGTGGCGCATGCCTTTAATCCCAGAGCCAGGCAGATCTCTGTGAGTTCGAGGCCAGCCTGGTCTCCAAAGTGAGTTCCAGGAAAGGCGCAAAGCTACACAGAGAAACCCTGTCTCGAAAAAAAAACAAAAAAAAAAAAAAACCAAAAAAAAAAAAAAAGGGTAATAAAGCTGGGCATGGTGGCACATGCCTTTAATCCCAGCACTTGGAAGACAGAGGCAGGCAGATCTCTGCAGGTTTGAGGCCAGCCTAGTCTACATGGTGAGTTCTAGGATAGCCAGGGCTATATAGAAAGACCCAGTCTGAAGAAAAAAACCAAACAAACAAACCCAGTAATGAATATTTTCTGAACAATTAACTTAATTATAGCCTTTCTCTTAAACAATCTGCTTTGTAATTATGGACATATATAGCATTACTTGTTGTTATGCATTTCAAAGAAAAGACAGTCATCCCTCCTTAAGCTCAGAATATTTAGCTTAAAAAAATCTACTGTGGGGCTAGAGAGAAAGCTCAGCAGTTTGGAGTACTGGCTACTCTTCCAGAGGATGTGGGTTCAATTCCCAGCACCCACATGACAGCTGACCACTGTAATTGTAGCTCCAGGAGTTCCAACACCTTCACACAGACACACATGCAGGCAAAAAACACCAAATGCACATAAAATAAAAAAATAATTTTTTAAAATCCACTGTGTTTAATTAGGGCCAGTTGTATGCACACGGGTACTATGGTAACGAGTCATGAGCAATTTACCAGTGGTTATTCCATTGAAGAAAATGACTTTCCTTCCCCAAGCAACCATTAACTACCAATAGTGCCTTAGCTAAGGGTAGAGATGGTTTGCTTTCTATGCATGGCATAATAATTTCATTTATTTATAACAGAGTTTTGAATAGTTCAGGCTGGCCTCAATCTCTTTATGCAGTGGATAAACTTGAACTTCTGAACCTCCTGACTGAAATTCCCAACTTCACCATATCTAGTTTTGGGGGTTTTTTTTTTTTTTTTTTTTTTGGTTTTTTGAGACCGGGTTTCTCTGTGTAGCTTTTCACCTTTCCTAGAACTCACTCTGTAGCCCAGGCTGGCCTCGAACTCACAGAGATCCGCCTGGCTCTGCCTCCGGAGTGCTGGGATTAAAGGTGTGTGCCACCACCGCCCGGCTTGTTTTGTTTTTTTAACTTAGGGCTTTGTATAAGTTGGATAAGCTTTCCACCAACTGAGGCACATCCTTAGCCCTGATCAGTTCAAATATGCTTCCAGGACTAAGTGAAAAGTTACATTTTAATGGTTAAAACCACCACATGGTGAGCTGTTTTTCTAGTTCAAATTTGGTTTTGTTGCTGCTGTTGGTTGGTTTTTTGAGACAGGATTTCTCTGTGTAGTTATGGTGCCTGTTCTGGATCTCTTTCTGTAGACCAGAAAGAGAACTCACAGAGATCTGCCTGGCTCTGCCTCTCAAGTGCTGGGATTAAAGGCATGTGCCACCGCTGCCTGGCCAAACTTTGGTTTTGTTTTCTCTGCCACACAAACTTAGGTAAGAAACCTTGAATCCAGAGAAGTGGCTCAGCTGGTAAAAGAACTTAGTATACAATTATGTGCAACAGATTCCTAATTCCCAGAACCCATGTAAAAACTGCTGAGTGTGGTTGTATGAACTAGTAATCCTAACATTGTGAGGAAGCAGGACAGGAGGTTCACTGGGGCTTGCTGGCCAACAGCCTAGTTCCTGGTTCAGAGAAAGAACCTATCTCAAAGGAAGAAGGAGAATGATAAAGCAGAACACCCAACATGTACACATAACCTGTGTGTATATGCACCACAGATATACAAAACACACATTCCTAATCTGTAAAGTGGTGATGATAATTCTAATTAGGTTATGGTGAATAAATGAGGGATAATGCCCATAAAGACCCAAAGTAAAGCCTATTATAGAATAAGCACACAAGATCTTCTGAAGGCTAGGGGTGTGGTTTGTGGTAGAGAGCTTGCCTACACCATGTTCTAGGCCTTAGGTTCAACCCAAGTAAAACAATAAAATAAAATGAAGACAAACAAACCTCCCAAAACTGAGTGTAGTCACCTATGCCTGCAACCCCAGGAGGTGGAGGCATTAGTATCACTGTGAGTTCATGGGCAGCATGGGCTTCATACTGGGTTTCAGGCAAGCCTATGCTAAGGAAGAGGTCTCTGTCTTTAATAAAGATGGAGAAGGTACTGAAGTTGTAGTTCATTGGTAGAGGGCTTGCCTATCATACCGGAAACCTGGCTTGGTAGCACAACTCTCTAAATCCCAGCACTCAGGAGGTATGAGATCAGAAGTTCAAGATAACCTCAGCTATGCAGCAAGTTTGAGGCCTTCTTAGGTTACACAGGGAGACTTTGTCTCAACCACAAAAAAATACTGTATGGAGTCAGAAATCAAGTAACATTGGTTATTTCAAATAGTTTATTAGACTCATGGGCTAAAATCAGTTACAAAATCTCTTGTAGTGAGTATATTAATCTCTTAACATATAACAATACAAACCATGCCTCACCGCAGAAGTTTTACAAGGTTCAAACATGAAAAAATATAGAAGTATATTGATTAAAATACAAAAGCATGCCAGGCAGTTGTGGTGCACACCTTTAATCCTAGCACTTGGGAGGCAGAGGCAGGTGGATCTCTGTGAGTTTGAGGTCAGCCTGGTATACAGAGTGAGTTCCAGGACTGCCAGAGATACACAAAGAAACTCTGTCTCCAAAACAAAGAAAAACAAACAAACAAAAACCCAAGAAGCATTAACTATTAAAAGAATTTGTGTTTAGATATTAGAAGCATTACATTTCTAACACTTCTAACTCAAGCACACTTACCCGAGGATCTTCTGGATTGGTGTATACCTATGTAAAAATGCATTACAATTAAGTAAAGTGAAGCTAAGTATTCAGAAAGAATAAAATTGGACATTAAAGTATTGAGTTGTTCAATGAAACAAAACAAAAAACAAAATGACCCTCCCAATAAGAAGTTTACTTCTTTTTCTCTAGGGCTGAAAAGATGGCTCAGAGGTTAGGAGTGCTGGCTGTTCTTCTAGAGTTCCCAGGTTCAGTTCCCAGCACCCACATGACAGCTCACAACTGTCTGTAACTCCAGTTCCAGGGGATCTGGCACCCTCACACAGACATACATGCAGGCAAAACATCAATGCACATAAAAATAAATCTTAAAAAAGTTAACTTCTTTTTCCCCACTGGATACATCAGCAGATTTAATAAAGTGACATAAATCATCTGATAATTTCAGTGTCACTTAATAAAGGGAAAAATTTGACAGTGTTAAAAGATACAATTTAAAAGTACTTACAGCTAGAATGATCATCCTTAGCTGAAATACAAGAGAACAAATCTTAATTGTATTCTGTAAAATGCATTTTTATGATGGATCATAAAAATTCTTTGTACTCATTCAGGGGCTTGGGGCATAGGTTAGCAGTAGAGCAATCATTTAGCACATGCAAGACTGTGAGTTCACTCTTTAGTGCTTCCCCATCCTCAAGGGAGAATTTTTGTTCTATCTCAACATTGCTTGCGCGCGCGCGCACGTGTGTGTGTGTGTGTGTGTGTGTGTGTGTGTGTGTGTGTGTGTGTGTGTGTGTGTGTAGGGGGGTGGGGGGTTAGTTCAGGTGTGTGTGTGTGTGTGCGCGTGTGCGTGTGCGTGTGCGTGTGTGTGTGTGTGTGTGTGTGTGTGTGTGTGTGTGTTTGTGTGTGTGTGTTTGTGTGTGTGTGGCGCTTTTTGATGGCTATCCTGGAACTTGCTATATAGATAAGGCTGGCCTTGAACTTAAGAGATCCACCTGCTTCTGCCCCTTGAGTGCTGGAAATAAAAAAGGTCTGTACCAGCACACCCAGCACTCAACATGTATTTCTAAAAGTAACCATTGTGGAAGATTCGTTTCATATCATGTCTATTCTCCCAAATTATTTCTTTTCACTTGGCTTTCTAATGGCTAAAATTCATGTCAGCATTTTATTTCACTGACTTAATCAAATATAATTAGTTACAAGGTATGGTGGCATACACTTTAATTCCAGCACTCAAGAGGCAGAGAAAGGCAGAATACTGTGAGTTTGAGGCCAGCCTGGTCATATAGTGAGTTCCAGGCTGTCGGAGCTACAAAGTGAGACCCTGACTCAAAAAAGAAGTAATTAAAGTTATTCCAATTCCCTATAGCTTTCCTAAAAATTATAATGGCATTTAACACTATTGGAAAGAATTTGCTTTTTTTTTTGTTGTTTTTTGAGGCAGGGTCTCTATGTGTAACCTTGGTTGTCCTGGAACTTACTCTGTAAACCAAACTGGTCTTGAACTCACAGAGATCTGCATGCCCCTGCCTCCCGAATGCTGGGATTAAAGGCCTGTGCTACCACTACCCAGTAATTCTTTTTTTTTTTTTTTTTTCCAGAGCTGAGGACTGAACCCAAGGCCTTGTGCTTGCTAGGCAAGCGCTCTACCACTGAGCTAAATCCCCAACCCCCCAGTAATTCTTAATTAGAATCTAAAAATAAGTTTCCTTGTGCTGAGGCTGTAGATCAGTGGCAGAGTACTTATCTAATATGTACAAGGCCCTGAATTCAGTTCTAAGCACAGCAAAAATAAATGTTCCCATGCAATTCAAGTTAAGCTGGCACAAATTCTGAAATGGTTAAATTTATACAGGTTTTGAGTCAGGGTCTCACTCTGTGCCACAGCTAGCCTGAACTCATTATATAGTCCAGGCTGGATCTGAACTCATAGTATATGTGAAAATAGTGAAATTTATGGGATTTTTTTCAAGACAGGATTTCTCTGTGTAGCCCTGGCTGTCCTGGAAATCACTCTCTACATCAAGCTGGCCTCAAACAGAGATCTATCTGCCTCTGCCTCCCTGGTGCTGGGATTAAAGGTGTGCATCACCATGACCCTGAAATAGTGAAATTTTAATTAAGATTTTACAATAGACTACAAGCCTTTTACATAGTATCATTTTAAGCAATATAAACAGAGAAGTCCAGTTCTAGCAGAATTCTGAAATTGAATTTTTATCCCTAGTCCTTAACTTTTCCATTAAGACAGTAAATATGGAACACCATATACATTCTGGCACATAGGAGCATTGGTAAGTGAGCAATGGTTAACAAAACAGTCAGTAAAAGAAGTAAATACTGCTGTGTCCTATACTGGCATTAACTACATGGTAGAAAACAGCCTTGAACTACTGATCCTCTTGTCTCTGTCCCTCAAGTTCTAGGTTTGTAGGCATGTGCCATCATGGCTAGTAGTAAGTAACAATAATTACTATTATCAAGAGAGAGAGGGTCTCACAGTGTATCCCTGACAGGCCTTGAACTCACAGACATCTGTCTACTTCTGCCTCCAGAGTGCTAGAATTAAGAGTGTGCATACACATTTTTTTCTTTTTGTTTTTTTCTGTCTCAAAAAAACCAGAACAAATTATTAAAATACTAGTATAAGCATGGTTGCAGAATACATGTAAAACTAATGCAATATTTTAAAACATTTAAATTCATTTTTGTAAGTTAATATGTGCTATTAACGCTAATAAGTGAGTGCTAATTTGTTAAACCTAGCTTGGCAAAATTTATTTAGTATTAACTGCATTAGTTTAAATGAATTGAAGACTGGATTTTAAAATATTCAAATGTGGCCAGGCATGGTGACCTATGTCTTTAATACTAGCAGTGAAGAGGCAAAGGTGGGTTGACCTCTTGTGAGTTCAAGGTCAGTCTGGTCTACATAGCAAATTCCAGGCCAGCCAGAACTGTATAGTGAGATATTGTCTCAAAAATAAAAAAATTCAGCCGGGCGGTGGTGGCGCATGCCTTTAATCCCAGCACTCGGGAGGCAGAGGCAGGCGGATCTCTGGGCTACCAAGTGAGTCCCATGAAAGGCGCAAAGCTACACAGAGAAACCCTGTCTCGAAAAACCAAAAAATAAATAAATAAATAAATAAATAAATAAATAAAATAAAAAAAAATAAAAAAATTCAAATGTGGGACTGGAAAGATGATTCATTAGTCAAGAGCAGTTAAGAGTGCTTGCTGGCGGGGCACAATGGCGCACACCTGTAGTCCCAGCTACTCCGGGAGGCTGAGACAGGAGGCTCACTTGAGTCCAGGATTTCTGGGCTGTTGTGAGCTATGCACTAAGTCTGGCATCAATAGGGTGACCTCCTGGGAGCTGGGGACCACCAGGTTTCCTAAGGAGGAGTGACACGGCCCAGGTTGGAAACAGCAGGTCAAAACTCCCGTGCTGATCAGTAGTGGGGTCGCGCCTGTGAATAGCCACTGCACTCCAGCCTGGGCAACATAGCAAGGCCCTGTCTCTTAAAAACAACAAAAAACAGTACTTGCTGTTCTCAAGACCAGAGTTTGGTTCCAGTAGCCATAATGGGTGGCTCACAGCCATCTGTATCTCCATGAGATCTAATACCCTTTTCTGACCTCCATGGGCACCATCAGACAGGAACACACATTGTACACGTGCATATAAATAAATAAAAGTAATTCTTTAAATTATTCCAATGCTCAGGCTTTTTTTTAGTAATTGAGACTGTTCTATATCAAGTTAGTTTAAATTACTCTTACTACATGATAACTCCTGTTGTAGCTATAGGGAAGGGAAGAAGAGATGGCAAAGACTTACATATTTCTTCTGTAAAGCATCATAGCATCCTAGCATCCTAAAAAAAGTCAAAGGTTCACTTTTATATTTAATGCATTTTCAGAAAATAGTTCTTTTCATAAATCTCTGTATTTACCCTTACAAAATAAAACTAATAATTAAATTAAAGCATCTTTTCTTATTAACTAGCTTAAAACTGAACAAAATAAAACATAAAGAAACAGGGGCTGGAGAGATGACCCAGTGGTTAACAGTGCTTACTGTTCTTGTAGAAGACCTGGGTTTTGATCCCAGCACCCACAAGGCAGTTAACAACTGCCTGTAACTACAGTTGCAAGGTCTTATATTCTCTTTTGCTTTTCTTGGGCTTCTGAACTCACATGGTGCACATACATGTATTCAGGCACATACACGTTTTCTTAAAAAAAAATCTTCAAAAAAGAAAAACCAGCCAGGTGGTGGTGGCGTATGCCTTTAATCTCAGCACTTGGGAGGCAGAGGCAGGTGAATCTCTGAGTTCAAGGTCAGCCTGGTCTACAGTGTGAGTTCCAGGACAGCCAGGGTTACACAGAGAAACCCTGTCTCGAAAAACAAAACAAAAAGCAAAAAGAAAGAAAGAAAGAAAGAAGGACCATAAATATGGAGATGGGAGGACAGAAGGAAAACTATGAAATATCGAATAGCTATCTGTAGAGTTATAATAGGAAAATGAATCCTATTTACATGGAGCATGAAATAAAAAAATTAATACATAAATCCAAAGACCTCAAAGCATGGTACCCAGGGCTAAAGGGTTAGTTACTAAAATCTGGTTATACATTGAAAAGTATTCAATGTACAAAAAGTATGATTAAAAAAGTAATACCGCTGGGCGGTGGTGGCTTACGCCTTTGATCCCAGCACTCGGGAGGCAGAGGCAAGCAGATCTCTGTGAGTTCCAGGCCAGCCTGGGCTACAGAGTGAGTTCCAGGAAAGGCACAAAGCTACACAGAGAAACCATGTCTCGGAAAAAAAAAAATCAAAAAACAATAAAAAAAGTAATACGCCTGCCCCTGCCCCCCGGGGGAAGGAGGCTAAGTTTAATGGCACATGCCTTTAATCCCAGCACTTGGGAGGCAGAGGCAGGTGGATCTCTATGATTTCCAGGCCAGCGTGGTCTACAGAGCTAGTTCCAGGACAGACAGGGCAACACAGAGAAACCCTGTCTCAAAAAACAAAACAAACAAACAAACAAAAAAGGAAAAGTAATAATTTTCTGCCTCTAGGCATTCTTTTACTTACCACTTCACTAACTGTGAAGAACCTGGACAATTTTTATCTTCTTTCAGAATTTTAACACAAAGATCTAAATGAAAAATGAAATAAATATAGAAGTACTTATAAACAGTTGGTTTAATGAATTACTTGTATTTATTTGTGTTACATGCAAATGTGTATGGGTACACATGTGTCAAAACACATATGTGTGGCAGTCAGAGACTTTGGGGAGCTGGCTCTCTCCTTCTACCATGTGGGTTAGGGGGATCCAAATCAGATCATCAGGTTAGGTGGCAAGTGCCTTTAACAGCTAAGCTATTTTGTCAGCCTCAACAGTAAATTTTAAATTATATTTACTTTCTTTAGCTATAAATAATAGGTATATTATTTTTTGAGACAGGGTCTCACTATGTATAGCCCAGGTTGGTCTTGAACTCAACAGTTCCCCTGCCTTAGCCTGTCCAGTATTGGGATTACCCAAGTGTGTGCCACCCACCTGGCTCATTATATGCATATTATTAGTGGCAGCTTTGAAATAATTGGTACTCATGCCGGGCGGTGGTGGTAGTGCACGCCTTTAATCTCAGCACTCGAGAGGCAGAACCAGGCGGATCTCTGTGAGTTCCAGGCCAGCCTGGGCTACAGAGTGAGTTCTAGGAAAGGCACCAAAGCTACACAGAGAAACCCTGTCTCAAAAAACCAAAAAAAAAAAAAAAAAAAAAAAAAAAGGAAATAATTTGTACTCATTATAAAATGCCATCATAATGATTAAGAATTTAAGTTGATGGGTAAAACTTCTCCTATTTCTGTGCTTTAGTTGGTAAGTAGTTTGTAAGTGCTTGTCTCACATTAGCAAACCCTAGGTTGAATCCTGAGCACCACGTAAACTGGGTGTAGTGGTGCATGCCTACAATCCCAGCACTCAGAAGAAGGTAGAGGAAGTAGGAACCTAGAGTTCGAGGCCAGTCTCAGCTATATAACCAGTGCAAGGCCAGCCTGGACTACCTAAATAAGACTCTGTCTGAAAAAAAGGGGGTGAAGAGTGGCAGAATAAATAGCTCAGTACTAAGAGCACTGTCTGCTGTTTCAGAGGACCTGACCTAGGTTAGATTCCTAGCACCGAAGTGGCAGTTCATGGTAACTCTAGTTCCAGGGGATCTGATGACCTTTCTGGTCTCCAAGAGCACCAGGTACACACATGGTACATATACATACATGCAGGCAAAAGAACCACATAAAATAAATAAAAATCACTCTAAGTAAAAAACAAAGAAAGTCTTAAATATTATAAATTACCATCCAGATATCTTGTCCCATAAGCACGTTCTGGAAATATTCCTCTCAAATAGGTGATGCAGGATACTGAAACTGCAAGGAGCCTCTTCACAAACATCAAAGACTGATGCTCAGTTGAGATCTTATTGGGAAATACCAATGCACTCTGAAATTCAAGGGAAATTAAAGTATCTTAATTGACATTTGTTGAAAACAAAGCTCCGCTAAGCTTAAAAGAAGCTCTAACAAAGCATGGTCACTATAGCTTATGTAACAGCAGGTGTATCTATTTTACATCCAGAGGTATAACACAGTGCTGGCCCACAGCTACAGTACTCAGGATACAAGTGAAGAGGCATTATTTGAGACTTGATTCAACTTTTCAAACAAAGGGTCCAAAGGATGGTATGATAAACTCTGTAACGAAATGCACTTTAGGGGCTGGAGAGATGGCTCAGCAGTCAAGAGCATTGGCTGCTCTTCCAGAGGACTCAAGTTTGATTCTCTGCATCCACATGGTGGCTAACAACTGTCTAACATTAGTTCCAGGGGATCTGCTAGCACTGTACCCACATAGTGCACAGACATATATTAAGACAAACCACTGTACATTATAAATAAGTAGAAAAGAAATGCATTTTGAGCCAGATGTGGTAGCATATCCATTTTCAATCCCAGTTAAGAGGCAAAGACAGGTGGATCTCTGTGAGCAGAGCCTGGGTCTACATAAGAGTTTCAGGACAGCCAGGGCTACATAGTGAGATGTTGTCGAAAATGGTAATAGCAGCAGCGGCTGGAGAGATGGCTCAGAGGTTAAGAACACTAGCTAGCTGCTCCTCCAGAGGTCCTTGACTTCAATTGCCAGCAACCACATGGTAGCTCACTACCATCTATAATGAGATCTGGTGCCCTCTTCTGGCACACAGGCATACATGTACGCAGAACACTGTATACATACTAAATCTTTAAATATAATAATAATAATATCAACAATAATAATAATAACAAAGAGAAATGCATTTTCTTAGGATTTCCTCTAATTATTGGCACAGTTCTAAGTATTCACTCTTTTCATGAACAGCAGCTAAACTCATTAAGAAAAAAAAATCCCCTAAAACAAAACACAAGCACTGGGTTCATACACAGATGGCTGAGTGGAAGCAAGCAGGACTCAACCTTACTTGTCCTTTCCAACTGTCACATTCAGCTGGTGAGAGCTCCAAGGAAAAGGAGATGCCACTGAACGAACAGTTTATGGTAACAGTGTCCAAAAGAATTCTACAGTCCTTTTTTCCTTGAAGTACAAGGTGTCCTGATATCATTAAAGCTGCAAATGTTTGATTCTTTTTTTTTTGTTTTTGGTTTTTTGAGACAGGGTTTCTCTGTGTAGCTTTGCGCCTGTCCTGGAACTCACTCTGTAGCCCAGGCTGGCCTCGAACTCACAGAGATCCGCCTGCCTCTGCCTCCCGAGTGCTGGGATTAAAGGCGTGCGCCACCACCGCCCGGCTAAATGTTTGATTCTTTTAAACAGTAAAATATTTATGGCTTCAAGAAACAAGAAACTCGGGGCTGGAGAGATGGCTCAGTGGTTAAGAGCACTGTCTGCCCTTCCAGAGGACCTGGGTTCAAGTCCCAGAACCCACATGGCAGCTCACAGTGGTCTGCAACTTCAAGATCTGATACCCTCACACAGTCTATATACATGCAGCAAAACACCCCCCCCCAAAAAAAAGAAAAAGAAAGAAAAAAGAAACAAGAAACTCAGCTAATGTGGGCCCTGGTGGCACATGCCTTTAATCCCAGCACTCAGGAGGCACAGGCAGGTAGATCCCTGTGAATTCGAGGCCACGCTGGTCTACAGAGCTAGTCCTAGAACAGCCAGGGCTACTCAAAAAACCAAACCAAACCAAACCAAAACAACAACAACAAAAAAGAAACCCAGCTAAATTAATACAGATTAAGTCATAAGAAATCATACCATGGAAGCTGTCCTCCGCAACTGCATAGTGGCCATCTTCCAATAAAATGTTTTCTTCAGCCATGTAACACAGCACAAATACAAATTTTAATTTCAGATTTCATTTTTTATCTCTAAAACTCTATTACATGAGGTTTTTATCTTAATAAATTTCAGAATTTTACTTAAAATAGAACCTTTAAAAATGACAATGTATAGCCCCAGTACTATAGTGTACTTCTAGAATAACACTTGGTAGACTGGGGCAAGAAGATCAGGAGTTCAAGTTTAGTCTTGGCTAGTTAGCAAGTTGCAGACCAGACAAGGCTACCTGAGACCCTGGGTTTGTTTGTTTGTTTGTTTTGTTTGGGGGGGGGGAGATTCTGCCTGATAATTTAAAATATATTTATATCAAAAATATTCAAATCAGGTGACTCCTTTCTCAGGGCTCAGCCTACACTGTCTACTCTGGAACTGTAAAACGGCAAAGCAGGGAGGACACCAGACAGCTCAGCTGGTGAAGGAGCTTGTCGCCATCCTGATGCTCTGGGTTGGTAGGACCAACACGGTGGAAGGAGAAAACAGATTCCCCAAGTCCTCTGATGTCTACACGTGCCATAGCACAATGTGTATGCTACCACCTCCCATACAGTGTGACGAAGACGTTTTTAAGGCAACAGAAATAGATAAATAAAAAAATTTTTCTTCAGAAACAGATTTTAAAAAATTCTGGAGACAGCCGGGCGGTGGTGGCGCACGCCTTTAATCCCAGCACTGGGGAGGCAGAGGCAGGAGGATCTCTGTGAGTTCAACGCCAGCCTGGGCTACAGAGTGAGATCCAGGACAGGCTCCAAAGCTACACAGAGAAACCCTGTCTCGGAAAAACAAAAAACATCTTGAGATAGGCCTTCACGTTGCCCAGGCTGACTCCAACCCTAGGTAGCCAAGAATGATATTTAACTTTTTTTTTTTTTTTTAAACAGGGTCTTCCTATGTAGCCCTGGCTGTCCCGGAACTCTCTCTGTAGCCCAGGCTGGCCTCGAACTCACAGCGATGCTCCCGCCTTTGCCTCTCGAGGGCTGGGATTAAAGGCGTGCGCCACCACACCGGCCTTGACCTTGACCTTCCGACCCTCCCGCCTCCACCTCCCCAGGGCCACCAGGCGTCGTTTATTCTAAAATCGTCCTCTCATTTCTACGTGGAGGCAGGCCTCCCCGCGCGGCCCTGGCTCGCCTGTACCTCACTGGGTAGACCTAAAACCCGCCGGCCCCTTCAACCGCGTTCAGTGTCGCCGCCCTCGCGGCCCGTGTTCCTCCCGTTAATGCGAGTCACCCGGCCGTGGGCCCAGAAACCGTTAGCGCCATGGCGCCGGCCCCCGTCGCCCCCGCAGGCACCGCCGGGCACCCGACCCACAAACTCTCAACCGTCCCGCGGGTGGGCCACGGAACGGAGACCCCCCCCACCGACAGGTCTGCGAGACCCAAACCCAGAGTAAACATCTATTACGCCACGCCTGAGGGACGCAGGCCACCGCCGCAGGGAAGAGGAGGCGCGGCGTCCCGCGCTCGCTTCAGCCTAGGCGCGGTGCGCATGCGCGCCAACGGCCGCCCGGCACGTGCCGCGCCCTTTGACCTCGGGCGGGATTTCCCCGTTCCCGCCCAAAGCTGCGCAAGGGCTGCCGGGAGCCCTGCTCTGTTCCCGGCAGGCCGAGTTCTCAGCGCGCGTGGATCGGCGGGGGGACGTGCAAAGCCTTCCCGGCGCGCCGCTCCCCTGGAGACTCCGTTTTCTCCCGGGTCGGGTGGTTCTCGGGCTTTGGATTTTGTTATCGGACCTTCCGTGTGCTGGATCGTCCCCCGCCCCCCGACCGCCCAGACCATGGTGCCTTGGAGGAAATCAGTTGCTCCACCAGTCTGGTGACTTAGACTTGTATTTCTGCTAATGAGTTGTTTTTAATTTTTAGTAGTGTGTGTGTGTGTGTGTGAGTGTGTGTGTGTGTGTGTGTGTGTGTGTGTGTGCGTGTGTGTGTGTGTGTGTGTGTGTGTGTGTGCGTGTGTGTGTGTGTGTGCCCTGTGGCGTTCATTCCGAGGCCCGAGGACCATATGTGGGCATGCTCATACCGCAGCACGACGCGTGGTGGTCAGGCTAACTTGAAGTCAGCCCTCCCCCTCCACCACGTGGCTCCCAAGAGTCTAACTCAGCTGTCGGGCTTGGCAACAGGCGCTTATACCTGCTGAGCCATCTCACCCAATCCAGTACTTTTATTTCTGAGACTTATTCTTCCTATTTAGCCGAGTTTAGTCTTGAATGGCCATCCTCCCTGCTTTTACCCCTCCCCCGTACTAGATGTCCAGGCATATGTCACCACCTTACTTTACTTTCTACTAATTATTTTGAAAGACCCCCGAAGGTAGTCTTCCCTCTGGAGAGACCCTCGCCCAGAGATCACACCGAGACCACAAGTCAGATGCAAACAGCAAGAGGCTTTATTCAGGAACACGGGTACCCGGGGCGACACAGTCACTCCAGAGGCTTGAGAGACTGGCGCGCCGACGGGCTGGAGTGGAGGGTTTTTATAGGGTCGGGCAGCAGAAGGGCGGGTACAGAAGCAAGAAGCATGGTTTACAGGGTTCTGATTGGACGATTCGTATGAGGCCAGGTTCAAACTCAGGACAGTTCGTGGTTTTTCCCCGAGCTCGACACGCCTGCTGACTTGGCTCTTATCTAGGGTACAAGTTGTTTTTCTGACCTTTAGTTCCCTGTTCTGGGGCCAGGTGGCCGACCGTAGATACCCTGTTTGTTCCTATGCCCATGTCCTCTAACTGAACTTTCCCCGTACTTTTCAGGCCTTGCTCAAAATGGCGTTAGGCTAAGCAAGTATGCTGGGGCCTTTCAATTTCTACTGATCCAACTGGGCACAGGGGGTAGCTTTGGAAACAATTTATGTCTCGTTTGGAAAGAAAATTAAGTTCTATTTTTGGAGCGGTGATTTTTCAGTACTGGCATTCAAGTTTGTGGGTGGTTGCCGAAGTGCCGGTCCTTTATCAGGCCGCCCAGTGCACCGCCAGCACTGCTTCACACAACTGTTTTCAAAACATAGTTCCCAGGCTGTCAAAATGGCTCAGTGCGTAAAGGCACGTTCTACCAAGCGTGATGAACTGGTCTCTATTCCTGGAACCCACAAAGTGGGAGGAGAGAACTGATTATGTGAATTTTTCCCTGCTCTCCACATGTGCACTTTAGCACATGTGCCCACACAGGCAAATTAATAAATAAACATTAGGAAGGCTACACTGTGGAGAAGGTTAATGGAACCCGATACGTCTGTGGGTGGGATGCTGGATATGGAGACTCTGGTTCTCACAGTTGGTAGAACAGCGTGTGCCATGTATCAGTCAGTCCCCATTTCATTCTGCAAGGAGGAGGACAGGCTTCAGTAGTCATCACAGTCCTGGCTTTGTTCAGGTTTATTTATTTCTCTGTGGACCAGCAATCTCTGTCACTGAGCATTTCTTTGGGGATCAGCTGACTAGTGTTAACTGCCATCTATAAACAACTTCAAAGTTTGCATCTATAATTTTGTGTGTATAAGTGTCTGCATCTATGTATGTGCACCAGGTGTGTGACTGGTGGTCTTGGAAGTCAGAAGAGAGCATTGGATCCCCTGGACCAGGATTACAGATGATTGTGTGTGAGTCACCATATGGGTTTCGGGAAATGAACCCCAGTCTCCTGTGAGAGCAGCAAGTACTCATAACCAGTGAACCATCTCTCTCTTCAGACCTCAGTAGAGCAGTTTTTTTCACTGATAATAATTATTTAATACAAAATATTGATAAAGTACATGTAGCAAGATATTTGTCACAGTATTGTTTGTGTTTTTTTCTATTATCAGCTTGATACAGTATAAATTTTTATCCTAATAGTGAAATGTTTGATTGAGGCTTGCCCAGTAATTGAGTAAAACCAAAACTTATTATAAGCCACAGTCATCCTAGGGTCCCCCCTGCTATATAGCCTCCTGCTGTGGGATGGTCTGTATGTCAAATGTGTTGCTGATTGGTCAATAAATAAATCACTGATTGGCCCATGGCCAGGCAGGAAGTATAGGCGGGACAAGGAGGAGAATAGAGCTGGGAAGTGGAAGGCTGAGTCAGGGAGACACTGCCAGCCGCCATCAGGATAAGGAAGATGTAAAGTACCGGTAAGCCACAAGCCACGTGGCAAGGTATAGATTAATAGAAATGGATTAATTTAAGCTGTAAGAACAGTTAACAAGAAGCCTGCCACAGCCATACAGTTTGTAACCAATATAAGTCTCTGTGTTTACTTGATCGGGTTTGAGCGGCTTGGGACTGGCGGGTGAGAGAGATTTGCCCTGACTGTGGGCCAGGCAGGAAAACTCAAGCAACAAATGGCGTCCAACGTGGTGGCAAGAGTTTCCACCTAAAAACTGAGAAAAAAGATTCTAAAATGGAGCTAAAAACAGCTTCCTAATTGTCTCTCTCAAATGAGCAGCAGCTGCTGGTTTGAGCTACTGGCGGGTTCCTAGCGTGCGTGCAGGCTCGACCTGTAGTATGGTGGGAATGAGGCCTCTGCAAGTGGCACATTAAGCTGTGTGGTGGATTTAGCCTTTGCTAGTACAAAAAAAAAAAAAAAGAGTTTTCTGGGCTACACGCTGCTTTGATAGAAGCATAGACCCACTATTTCTGAGAGTTGATGGCTCCCAGAGATGGCGGAAAACGTATCACCGCCATATTGGGAAGCTGAAGTGGGTGGAGCCAGCAGCGCCAGCGCCCTTTCAGGCTTAGAATGCTGCAGTTTAAAGCAATAGGCTCAAGCTAATATAAAAAAATAAGCCACGTAAAGATGGCTACCACACAGAGAATCTGGATTATGTTCTCTTTGATATTCGTAACTGAAGAAAAACATTTGATTACAAAAGCTGTTGAGTTATGCCAAAATGTATATTTTAAAGGTACCTTGACTTCAAAATTTGGATGTAAGGATATGTTGCTTTGGAAAGGAGGCTCTGCTTTTGTTTCCACAGAAAGCCAGAGGCTATGGATTTGTTCCAGATTAAGATACATCAGGTTTGACCAGCCAAGACCCCCTGAAAGGTCTCCGATGACACCATGGCCCAGATGATCCAACATCCAGAACCGTTTCAAGGCAACTGGCTCAGATGATACACCCTCATGGACTACTCCATAACCCTAAAATGTTCTTTGTGTCCCCATAAGATACAGCACCCCCCTCCAGTAATCTTTTACATATTGACATCCAGTTATGCCAGCACCTCAATAAAGCAGTTTTAACCATGGGAAAAAACATTAGGATGAAGGATAGGTGGAGATTGTGGGGTAGTGGAAGCTTCTTCCCTTAATGTGTACTGTCTCATGAACTTTGATATATTTTCAACAAGAGGAAATGTACACCACAGATAGGAAAAGGTCTGCCCAAAGTTATTCAGTGTCAGAGGCATGTAGATCCTTGTGCTCACAGATAAGCACTAAGGAAAATAGAAATGTTAAACACACAGGGCTGTCTTTTCAAAGGAGCAGTGTGTACCTGTTTTCCACCCAGAAGGCTGGGGACAGATGTGGTGACCTTCACACTATTTGTGTGGCTAGGCCACACTAGCTCCCCCAGACCCTTGAGCTTGTCTCAGTTAA